TCCAATAGAATGCATCTTGTAATTTGAGGGACCAAACAGTGGACACCAACATTTCTTAGAAAGGCCTGATCATCTGGCACTAAATCGTCAACAAGTCCTCTACTGAGAGACAAGCTGGGATTTCCAGTCCATTTAAATCCATATTATATATAACGCTTTGTTTAATTCAAACAGAAAATAAGTACTGGAAATCAACAGCAGTTCCAGATACTAAGTTCATTATTAATTTGGTCCTGGACATTCAAATGAGAATTACTGCTTTGTTCAGAAAGACTTTGTATTTTTCTTAGTCTTACCCATTTCTAGATACACACTGTCAGATACTTGCCTTTTAATAGCAAGGCCAGATTTTGGTGGTTCCTCTACTACGTGCACAATACCTCCAAGCTGCTTTCATTGTAATTGCTGTTCAATTGATTGATGACACTGGATTAAAAGCTACAGAGGAAATGAAATGGTTTTGGACCATGTCATATCTCATTTTCTTTTGGTGTGAGAATCCAAAATAAACTCAGGCATCCTACATGATCTGAGAAGTTCTCCTTAGCAATAATGATCTTTGACCTACTTTCTCTGTAGATCACAAAGATTTCTTATTCTAATAACTAGTAGGATTATTTTTTTTTCTCGGATACGATGAATATGATTTATGTTCCTTTACTACACAAGTAAAATCCTTTAAGTTCTCCCTCCAGAGACCAATCTGATTACGCAAAAGAACACTGCCTGGTACCGTAATGGCACGGGTGAGAAACTAAAACAGGTGGATGCCCCACAGCAGTGCTCACAGCAAAGCAAGTAAGAATAGTAATAGTGGAACAGCACATCTGCTGTTGACTTCACCATAACATAACCTTTCCAACGCTACCTTCAGATCTACACTTGTGTCTGGTTCCCTGCAACTTAGTTTGCACCCTTCTGTTTTGTTCTGTATTTCTTCATTAGCTTCCTGAGGGGGGCTTTGCAGCCTGCAGCCCGGGTGCCTCTCCAGGGGCAGCGGGCAGTGTCTCTGTGACTGATGGCTGCCGAGCAGAGCGGCAGCGCGAGGCAGAGTCACCGCTGCCCCCTGTCCTCAGAGGGTTCTGGTGCTGACCTAAGGCCACCATGAAATATTTACACTCCTGCACATGCTTTACTGACTGCTGGATATGTGCTTGGGAAGAGTTTGCATTACCAGTATAATACTGCCATCAGTGTTATGATGCAGAAGCTGGTGAGTTTATGCCAACATTTAATTTTTGTTCTTAAATAAAGCTTTTTATCCTTATACCTTGTCATTGTCTTTCTGTGTTTTATTTCTATACAACCATATCATATATATATATATTTACATGATCTGGCTGTACTTATTGCATGCAGTTCCATGAGAAATTCATTTGCTGCAATATAATTCTCCCTCAGTATATAAAATAAAATAAAGTGGTAATAATATTATGTGGGACATTTCCAAATGATTCATCTTCTCAGTGAAATGTAAAAGAAGTTGCCTACTACAAATTCCTTTAAATGGAAGATAATGTCCTAAAATACAGGTATATGAAGACTTTCCTCAAGCCCTGTCCTTTCTCAAGCTGAAAGCCTAACCAGTTTAATTTGTCCCTGCAAACACTGGTCACTGCAGAAAATGCAGTCTAATTTTGCAATATTTTGTACTTTAACTTGAATTAGATGTAAGGGTCAAATAAATTAACATCAGAGTGCCAATTAATCTAGGACATTAATCATTGTTAACTCTTCTAATTTTAAAATTAAACTGAATATTCAATCTGTCAACCCTTCGGTATATCCAATCTTTATGTTCAATCCTAGCAATTTTTTCTTTTTATTTAGAGAAAGGTTTATTATCAGGAAGCATGTCACTGAACTATTAATGTAATCAATTCCATTTTATTTTCAAACCATTCTTGTACTTGACTTTACAAAGTACAAAATTAGATATGATTAGATAATTATTATAGTTTGGTTAGACTATTCACAGTACTACCAGGAGAGTGAAACAATGTTATTCTGTAAAGCATTATCTTGGGGTCTAGGCTCGAGACAAGGCAACGAAAGAAGACTGAGGAATGATAAGGCACAAACCCTTTATCTCTGTATTGCTGGTTCTATTTCAGCTGATATTAATAGCAGCTGAATAATTATCAGAGGGACAAGCAGTGCTGACTGCAAGTGAATGAAAGTGCAGTCCCAAAATTTCCAAATACAGAAATTCCTGTGCTAAGGCTGCTAATTTAACTTGAGCTACCAGAGCACGGAAGTATGGCACAGCCAGGACCCAGTACACCCTGTTATATGGGTTCCCTTCCCCATCAGCAATGGAATGACACAGCCAGAGAATGTGAAGTCTGTTCACTGCTGCACTCTGGAAGAGAAGGCAGTCTACTGCTTTGAGCTGAAACTTCAAAACTGGGCAGCAACCACATTTAATGAGTGGTACCACACACACTGAAATGCCTTGGTCTTGTAAGCAGGTGAGCATAATTTCAGGTAGCGTATAATCACATTTTATTGTAAAGGACAGTTTCTGAACATGGAAATGTACAACCAGCAGGGGTACCTGACCTCCCAGCAGAACAAGTCTTGCTAGTGTTTGAAAAATAAAAAGAAGCATTTGAAAACACCAAAGGATGGAATCAACTGTATAAAAATGCAAAGGATTGTTTTTGCATTGCCCTAGAAGGTTAAAGAAGGATGTAAAGTAAAAAATGCTAAATTTTAAATAAGTGAACTTTATAACTTGTGCAAATTAAGGTAGACTGCTATTAAATACAGGTCTTTAATATTGATCTAGGAACGCCATAATATCTTTTGAGCCAAGTTCCCAGTCTTCCTTCCACCATTTGTATATTTTTTTGAGTGGTATCAAGGCTGACAGATTAATATTTATTGTTGGTAAATCTTCAGCAAAACGAAAAACCTTAACTAAAAACTCAGATGAATTCTGCAGTTGGGTTAGGTTCAGCAATTATTGATAAACAATGCTGTTTAAGAAATGCTGTTTCTAGTTCAAGAAATGTTAAATATGGGAAAAGATACAGCGTCTTTGTCAGTGGGCTCACTACTCGAAATTACTACTCTGAAGAGTTGAGACATCATTAAAGGTGAGAATAATACAACACAGTCATGCTCCTTTCCCCTCCTTTTTCTCCTGTCTATATCAAATCAGAATCAGAGGATATGACCTCCCAGGTAACCTACTTTCCTCTTCTACCAATGCAGACTCGGTCTTTATGATATCACCCATTTCTGAGAGCTTTTCAAAGCCTGTTTTTAAAACATTCTGATGGCTTTTCCTTTGCTAATTTTAATATATTATTTTACAGTCTAACAGCTCCCTGTTAGTAAGGTTTTCCTGATAGTCAGCCTGAAGCTCTCTCTCATAATTCATTCTCTTAACTGTAAATTTCTTTATTCAGATTCAGTTCTATTTATGCCACCCCACACTGAATCATTCTTCTGTTATTATAATATTATATTTAGAGCTAAAATATAATTTTTTTCTTCCAATTATTTCTCTTACTGAAAGGCAAAATCTTAAAGTGATGTGAATACCTACATTTCAAATTATTTTTGCCCCAAAATATCTGTTTGCAAATTTCTGAAGTTTAACTTATTTTATTCTCTCTTTGTTTTCATAAGTCTTTATAAATGAAACAATGCATTTTTGTTTCCCTTGATATTTATACAGCCTACTTATTTATTACTACCCCTGAAGTTTATTAGGGATGTTTGCTTTCTCTTCCTCACTAGTGAAGATATTAAGAAAATACACTATGCAAAAATATTGAAATAGGACAATCTGTCCTCTTTGTACTTGAGTTTACTTGGCTTGTTCCCCCCCATAGGTAACTCATACCTATAAAGTATATTTAAATAAGATTTGTAGAATTACATTTATCTTCCTAATGTAAGTTATTAATAAGTAGCTCAACACTTTTCTTGAGAGTATATTATGTTGCAGCACTTTTTAATTTTACAGTAAAATCAAATTAGACTTTAGTGTTAAGCATTGAAGTTATGGCCTGACATTTACACAGTCACCTTTTCCTTCCCTGTCTCTATTTTCTATTGAGTTGTAACAATCCACAATTGCATTTGGAAATTTGCACCTATAACATTTTTTTTTTCATTTAAGGCAAAATCAATCTTACTTTAAATCACTGAAAAAAAAAAAAGGTGTCATTTTCTCTGTCCCTGCAACAGCATATATGTATTGCCACCTCCTTAAGGAATAATCAAAATGAATCAAATTTCTAGAATCCCAGACAATGAAGGCAAGATTCTTCTTCAAAACCATGGTCACTTCACCACTACTCATCGTTCACACAAGCTGCACACAGTGTTGAGCCAGACTGACTACAGCAGCTATAAATAGTTTGGATTCAGTGCTGCATGAACACATAGATAAGGCCACAGTCATATCTGGCTCAGTAAGCCCCCCTGGAATGGGGGTATTCAATACACAATGAGCTGACTGGAAATGAAGCAGGTTCTTGGAAAAGGGAATACCTGGGCTGACTCTGGACACAGACAATTTATTATACCTACGCCTTTACTTTGAGCATGACACTCCCCCTATATAACCAGCATCCAAACCCCCATAACACAACAGGAAAAAGTTCATTGATGTTAAACTGGTGATAAAATTAAGTAAATAAACCGCTCAATGCTAATAGTTTTTTATGTCCTATTATCCCATGTGTTCTTACAGGAGAACTCCAAGTAGACTCTGTACTTGATTCAGAAAGTACAGGAGTCTTCTTCATCAGAGTCTCTAATACGCAGCTGAATGGACTTTATCTGCACTGGAAATGCCAGTGTCACAACTGCAGCAGTAGGGTGGCATTTATTGTAATGCTGCAAAACAAATCAGTTCTAAGAGATAAGTACGTCTTTTTAGTCCCATTCCTCTAATGCACAATTTAAGGGGAAAAAATTCCTAATATAGTGAAACAAAACCCCCAAGGAATTAAATTAAATAATGATTTGCAAACACTTACAGTCCATAAATCTGTGGAGCAATTTCCAGTCGGTTCAGATGCATGTACAGCTCAATATCATGTTTCTTCAGCAGATGATCCTGAATTTGATTTACTTTTGCTACAATAGCAATAGATGGCCCCAAGTCTTGTGGCCTTGCAAAGGGCATAGGTGTTATCATCACATCTTTCTCCTGCAGACACAGATAACAGGGTGAAAAAAAGAAGAAACCATGAAGCCTTACTATCTAGAGGGATTGTGTGCAGGAGATTTCATTGGTTGCAAACACCAGCTTCCAAATAAACATAGTAATAACTCATTTCTTTTACAGCAGAAGAGGAATCTCAAGCATCCACTTCTGTGGAAGGTATTGTGGGATTCCCCCTCCCAGGAGTGCCAAGGAGTGCCCGTCATTCTGCACATCAATTTTTACGTGCATGCTTTACTTTTCACGCTCTGACAAAGTGTTGACAGCTTTATTTTAGCTTTAATATCAGCAGTCTGAGTCAGTCCAGAATAAAGCAGATGAATGGTAACTCAGTAGAGAATATATGCCCTCAGAGGACAATAAATTGCATACCAAATAGGAAGTAACTTATTTTCAAACAATCCTTTCTAAACAGACTTCCCTTGCACAGAAAATCTGGTGGCTTTACCTTAAAACCTACACAGCTTTGACAAAGCATCAGAAACTTTTAAAGGAAAAGAGAAATAGAACAATGAGACAGCAGTTGGTTGGACCTGAGGGCTGTGCAAACTATGCCATGATCTACAACACAACACAAATCGAGTGAAAACCAGTGGAGAATTAGCATCCTCGAACACAAAGTGCTTTAAATTCATTCTTCTTGCAAAAGAGTGAAGTATTATTGAAAAATAGACAGAATGCTAGAAAGAAATGCAGCAAGTAATGAACTGCACTGAATAGGAAACATAAAAAGGAGAATGAAAAATAAAAAAAGACCAAGTTAAACCTAACAGGAGAAAGACAGGGGGGGCAGGGAAATAGAGAATTAAACTGTTAGGAACAGCATTAAGGTTATAAAACAGGGAATATAGAACAGTAAGAAGAGAAGAATTTTGCAATGACTTTCCTACAATCTGTCATCATGACCTCTGACCCAAAAGCTTCACTTTGAAAAAACAGTTCCTGTTTATCTACACTTTTGCTCACTATATTAACAGAGAATCATTATCCATCTCAAAGTGTTAACAATTTCTGGAGGCTTCATTGCACTTTACATTGTTTAGATACAAATTCACTTGTTTCGATATTATGAAAAGAGCATTATTTTTAACATTCAATAACAAAGAAAGTTGGTTTTGTTGTGTGAGCTATTCCCAGTGTCATTTCCTATGGTTATTTCAAAATCACTTACAAGATGGTTTAACATAAAAATGGGCAGTGAACATTTAATAATGTCTACCAAGAAGTCCATTTTTGCGCTGATCTTCTTTGCTTGAAGTACATTTTCTTAATTACTAGATTTCGGTACTGCAAAAAATGTGGTAGGATGTTGAGCAGTGATTTCAGGTAATATGTTTCTATTTAAGGACCTGATTGATTATAAATTGTATCTTAAAATCTGCTTAATTGTTGCTTTGCTATGGCAATTGCAGCAAAGGGACTGATCTGTCTATTATAGTGATAGTTTAACCATGGTATTGTGGTACCAAGACATATTCATTTAAGACACTCCAGCAAATCACTTGACAAAAGCTCCCTCAGACTGTCAGATAAAGCTCACTGACACAGCATGTATTTATTAAAAATCTTTGCTATTTTAACAAATAGGAATTTAGAATAAAACATCTAGTGGCTTAGAGGCCAATAGGCAATGCTGTTACTTAGTTAAATACCAAAGTTCTTCACAGCTGCAAGTGCACTGAGAAAGGATATTTCTCCTACCTTATTTTTAAAATTATTCTAGTAAATTCTTTCTCACCAAGCTGGGCAGCATTCTTTGTACCCTAAATTTTATTTCTGCCTTGTATGGCTATTTCTATAATTTCAGATCCATTTCACTATTTTCTTGGTCATAAGCAAGAATGCAAAATATTGAAAATATTTTAGGTATCCACTAATTTTCTTCTATACAGAAAACCACTCTTAAAGCCTGATATGGTAATATTGCTTTAATGTTACATGTCACTCTATATTTATTTTTTTCATAAACATATGGATTTATCTTTGAAACCAATTATAAAAGTCTGTAACTTTATCTATTTATACGCTGTGCATATTCTATCATTTGGCACACATCTGGGGTATGAACTTTATTGTGGTTTATTTAAACTGACTATAACTTCAGCTTCACCACTTCATGCATTCAGAACTCTGATGACTCTGAAGACCTGTGTTTTTAAGCTTTTCTTTATTATAGGTATAAAACCTTATGTGGAAAGCTCAACATCAGAATCCCTCTGCTTACTTGAACTTGTAATAAGAAAAGACTAGCTATTACTCAGTTTAATCTTTACACCATTAGTTGTCTGTGGGTTTCAAGCCATCTTTACAAAATTACAAGACAGATTATTAAACCCTGGCTCAAGTGACGAAAGATTGTGAATATCAAAAACTAATGCAAGCTTCCACGGTGCCAAAATTGGAGTTATTTGTCACTTGCAGCATTTGTGCACCTTGGCATAATGCAGCACTGACACATTGCTGACTGTCAGACTGACTGACTATCAAACATGGCTAAGTGTATCCAATAGTATAAGCTGGCTTGCCATTTCTAAAAGCATGAGATAAGTAAATGGTATCCATCAAAATGCAGTTTATCAGCATCTCAGAAATTAACCCTATTAACAGAAATCTTCAAGGCATGACAGAATCTGTGAGGAAGCAGCTGCAGCCAATAACTCAGCCTTGACTGTCCATGCCTCCTGATTCTGTGTATTCCACCAAGAAGCTCGGTGGAAGACTAGAGTGCAACAAAGTCATGTCTGTTTTCTCCTCTCATGCAATTTGGTTGAGAAAATGACAATACCTCTAGTCAGTTGAAATTGCTCCAAAAATCACATAGCTGGTGTGAAACAAACAGCCCAAACAGAAAGATGCTCAAATAAACTAATAAAACCAAGCCGCCAAAATGTTTAACTAGAAATTACTCACAGTGCTTGTGCCTAAAGCCAAGTGGACAACACAATACTGTGCTCCTGCTCATACTCACTATGTTATTATTTGCCATGTGAGAGAAAACACACATTTCTTTTTGTGAGCCTTCAGGTCTTGCAAAAAGATTTGAGTGTATGTGTTCAGTCACCTATTACTAACATGAAATATAAATGATCAATACTAAAAGAACGTGGTTCACAATAGAAAGAAAAAATGAGGGACAGCTCAGAATGTGCTGAATTGTTTATAGGAGAGCACCAGATTCACCCCTAAGAAGAGTTTAAATATGAATACTAGTGAAATACAGCTGAAAACTTTAGCAAAGTATTAGGAACAGAGTCACCAAGTCCTGTCACAAAACATTACCTACCACAACACGAATTGGCTGGTAGTTGATACAATTGATATATTCATGCATTTAGGAAGCAAATGCTACAGCAGCAAAGAGAGGCTAGGACATAGTACAAGTATAAACTGAGGACAGATTTCTCTCATTAACCACTAGGGAATGGAGTAGCTGGAGAAGCTCCTCTAATGGCAGTTGGGAGTAATGGAAACAACTGTTAGAGGCTGTAAAACCTAACGTGTCTCTCAGAGCTCATGCTCTCATTGCTTCCTTCGTGAAGATTCACACTTTACTATGTTGCTAACCCTCAAATTCACAATTGTAAAAGGCATATGTACAAGAAAGGATTATTAAAGATTATACATGTTTGCAAAGAACAAGAACAAACAACTAGATATTAATCCATTCACTTTGCTCTGTTAATTTTTTATGCCATGAAAGGACTGGAAAGGGCAATGTAAACTTTCACCTTCTACTCAAGCACTGCAAATCTGTAAGCAGACCTACTTATTTCCTGGAATAAAATTCTACCTCAGACTTTACCACCTTTGTAATAGAAATTGGAACAAATACATTCGAATACACTGAATTCTGAAAAGCTACACTCAGAGAAACATATCTCACAGCCTTGTTATTGAAATAAAAGTGCCTATGTAGTAACTTCATAAAATTTGTATCTCATATGCTTTATCCCTAGCTACTGAAATTATATAAAAATTCAAATAATTTATAACTGTAGATAGTTTAGGCTAAGACACCAATGCTCCATATCTGACAAAATATATAATATTTTAAATATTTAAAGGAAATAGATGGTTTTAAATGAGTCTTTTGTGAACAACTTTTCCTTCATTAGACTGACAAAACCACAGTTTAAACCAGTACTCCCTAATTGCAGTTTGCAGCTATAGGTTTAGGTGCACACATATGGACATCCATAACCAACTGAATTCTCATGAAGTTTTTGTTAACTCTAGATCTTCTCCCCATGTTGCATGTGAAAAATAGTGAAGTGAATCAAAGTTGGGAGGCCAGCTCTTTTAGGATGTAATACACTGAAAGTCTTGGCAATACCTGTAATACCGTTAATAATATTTTGCTAGAGCCTCCACACATATGCTCCATCACACAAATAATTTTCCAGAATTAAAAAAACCAGAGAAACATAAAGATGGAAAGAGACAAGAAAAGAAGTCGTCAAAGGAAATCTTGAGCAACTGACTGAGGGAATTGTCCTTCCTGCCATGCATGAAAAAATTCAGGCAAGGACTAGATGGTCTCTAGAAGGTCCCTGCAAAGGAGGGTTCTGTACAACTAAACTCAGAACACTGCAAAAGCTTTTTTAGGAAAGCAGCAACATACTAAAGACAGTAGTGTCTATACAGATACACCAGAGATTTGAAGGCACAGACATTTCCTCTGTTTGAATATCCTAAGGTTAAGAAAAAAAATGAAGGAAACGGATTGTGTCAAGGAAAGATACACCCTGACATTTGACAGACAGTCTATGGTTAAAGTTTTGGTTTCAAAGCAAATTGTTTGTAAACAGCTGAAAATAACTCATGCCTTAATACTTTACCTATAGGCATTTATTTAACATAACATTTGCACAGGTTTTTGGCACACAGAAGTGCCTATGACAGGCACTCTTTCAAATGCTATGCAAGAATATCACTTATAGACAGAAAAATCTGTGCTTATTCTTGTCTTTTGATTACCAAGTGATCTTTCAACAGATAGGAACTCTCACCTGAAGGCATTCCACAAGTGCTTATGACCAAATTCTGAAGAACCTTTAAAGACTGTAAACTTGTTTGAGACTGCTTTAACCAAATTAAGAGACGTCTAGCTAGCTTTAAAGAACATCAATCATATTAAAATCACATTTGGTTAAAAACACAGTAAGTAAACTTCGAAGCAATATTTACCTTCTGACTGTCATGTTCAAAAGTTGAAAACCAATGTTCTGCCGTTTTCATAAGACGTGTGAACATTGCACTAAAAGAGAACAACCCAGAAACTTGGTGTTAAATAATGGTGTCAATTACAAATAAGAGCAAATTAAATGTAAAGAAACTTGTTAAAACTTACTAGGCATCATGTTCCAGATATTCAGGATTCAAAAGAACTTTCATTTCCTCACTGAAAAAGGCAACAGTGAACAATCCAAATGTGAATGTTTATTTTTGGTCAGCATTCTCCATGTACTATTATGTATTTATAAGCCAACTTTCATATAAAGTGCAAATGAGAAAACTAGCCTTTTTAATTAAAAAGAGCAACTCCATTGAACAAATGAAGTCTTTCCTTTTTATAAAGATCAAAAACAAATTAGCTGCCTTGTCTGCACTACAATGAAGTAACCATCTAATTATTCCAAATAACAAATTACTGAATGTCACAATGTATTATTTGAATATGCTTGATCTAGAATAATTGATTGCTGCACAATCTATCACTGTTTATCCCAAACAAAAAAAAAATATGGTTACTGGTCAAATATGCAGTATCAAAACATTAATTTATTTTGTTTTAATAGCCTGTATTTTTATTGTACTTTAACAGCAATTAATCAGTGACAGCACCTCTTTTCCATCTACTTTGCTGCTTAGCTCTACTTTTTCAGTGGGGATGGAACAGAATGCTGTACATAACACATGGTTATTTTAAGTTGTTTAGCACTGAAGAGCATCTTCTAGGTAATTTTAGGATACCTAAGGACAGACATTGAATAAAAACACACACTTGTAAATAATCATCTTAATGCTTAACTCTCTTTGGGCAGTCACGTTGTGGGGTACCTACAGAGGTTCTATTATACTGCACACATAATTAAATTTGTTTTTATTCACTGTTGGACTCCAGTGTGCAAAAAAAAAAAAAAAAAGAAATGTCCTAAATATCACAAGACTTAAACCAGTTTCTTTTTTCTTTTTCAGTACTCCAGTGTGCAAAAAAAAAAAAAAAAAAGTCCTAAATATCACAAGATTTAAACCAGTTTCTTTTTTCTTTTTCAGTAAAAACAAAACCCTTACATATGGGGCAAGAATAAAATCAGATAACCATGTGATGCAATATTTTGTATGTATTAGTATGAATGCATGCATACACACAAACACACTTTTGAATGAAATGGAGGATCAATAGGTAAACGTAATGTTACTATCCAGTCAAAGAATAGTTGGATATCACAACTACAGCACTGCAGGTGATGAAAGAAATATCAATCCCAACAATTCGTCTTCAATGATTATTTCCCCTTTACACATATGAGGAAAGAGAGTTGGTGGTAAGATGTCTACTCGAGTGGAGCTCACTAATCTGTCTGCTCTCTGCAGTGACAAAAACGAAACCACTTCTGACAATAAGGATGAGGTAGAATGACAGGTAAGCTTTGAGGTTAAAGTTTTCCTTAGATTTCCTGTCTCCCCATTTTTTCACCAGCCAATATCTGTGAAGGGGCCAATGTCTAAATCTCAGAAGCTGCAATAGGAAAGATGAAATAAGGACATTCCCATCAAAGCAAAGGATGCAATGATTTCTAATATTAATTTATGAATTATAAGCAAATAATTATGATGCACATATTTATAAGCTATAATTCAGCCAACTTATTTTTAAAGAAAGACAATTTTTATACAAATAAAACACAATGCTTGCCTTGGTTGTGCAGCTTCACTGGCATGTGAAAAAGCCTGGTGGTCACAATGTAGGATAAAGACAATGGGAGCTAGAAGTTCATGCATGCCCTAAATAAAAAAGGAAGAGCAAAAGTATATTTAGATTTTCCAGTCATATAATAGTTGCTAATGCACAGCATAAGACAGACAGCAATATTAGGTGCAGACTAACTAAAACATGAACATTCATTCACACTGTTAACAGAATGGTTTCATAATCAATGGCTTTTATCTTAAATTCTGATTAAATCCAAGTGTTTATTCTTCTATAATATAGAGAAACAAGTTAGTCTCCCTTCTTCTAACACAACACACAACAAATTGGCAATGGTAGGCAACCCTGCACCTGGCAGTTTACTTCAAGATCTGTGTTCATAAATATGAATTTTATTTATGATAATTATAATAATGATCTACAGTACAGAGATCTGCAATAGAGAAAAATTACAAAATGTAAAATTATTTTGTATTTTATAATGTTCCAAAACCATAGATAAAAGTGTAACACTAGGCTCCAAAAGAGACAAGGGTAGCTATTTGGGAAAGAAAATGAAACTTTAATTTCTAAAAACATGGGAATTGAAATGAGGTTTTGGGTTTTTTCAGTTCTCTTTCGGTTTTTCATAAGTTGTTATGTCAATATTCAAAATAAACTCATTAAACACAATGCATACAAGACCTGGTACTGTTCCACTGCAGAGTACTACTTATATATGCAATCTATATTAAGATACAGAAAAAGCACAGAAATAGGCACGACTCAGAATAAAAAACATGGGTGGGCAGTTGAGGGCTTGGGCTGGCATCAGAACATGGCTGGGTCACCCAGGAGAGCTGGGATCCCAGTGTTGGGACTAGGACAGCAGGTAAGAACTATGAGAGCCCTAGGCTGGGGGAGGCATCAGCCATACAAAAGAAGGGAGGGGAGTCCTTTGGTGATGGAAGGGATGTGGGATGAAGGATCAAGATCTGTCTATCTGCCTCTGGACACAAGGATCACTCTAATGGGAGGGAATTCCTGACCTCTGCCCAAAACCACCAGTGACAGCAGGGGCTTGATGCCAAGTGCCCAGGCTACCCCTGCTGGGCCTGGTTCTGGATGGAGTCCTTGCCCAGCTGTAGGAAGAAGAACCTGCTGCCAGGAGTGCTCCAGTTCAAGGGTGCAACTATTTCATCAAGTGGAGCCTCAGCCCCAAATCAGGGAAGTGCTCTGGGCAGACAGGGGCTCCAGGAAGACTATCTCATCCATCCTGCTGCAGAAGGAGCACTGGCACTGGTCCACAAGCACATCAACATGTAGGGTTGCTGTCAGGAGTCAGATAACAGCTGATGGGTCCCCTGAGCTGTTCTACTTTTAATGGGTGCAGCTCCAAGCTAGGAAACCTCTACACTTGCTCTTCCAGTCCTCTGAGTGACGGACAGACATGAACACTGGAAGTGTTACACGCTTGCGAGCTTTGCTGGTATATCAGCTGACACTCAGCTGACACGCCATACAGCACCTGAGAAGTGTCCAACACCAGTAAGTTATCGTATCAGCTTCCTATGTACTGAACAGATTCATTAACTACCAAAACCTTTGAACTTGTATTACATCCCTTGGAAGTAATGGGGATTTATTTTCCTTATGTGGTCCCAAGTGATCCAAGATGTAGATGTGAAAACCATTACATCCCTTGGAAGTAATGGGGATTTTCCTTAAGTGGTCCCAAGTGACCCAAGATGTAGATGTGAAAACCCTCACTACGTCATTACCTATTTTGAGTATGCTTGGATAGTTTTTGCCAATTTTGACAATAGTTTTCACGATCTCTCTGTATGCCATCAACAGAAATCCTAGGAAATTTAATTTTAATTTTTTCAGGACTGAGATGACTGTTAAAGCCTCACTACGTCATTACCTATTTTGAGTATGCTTGGATAGTTTTTGCCAATTTTGACAATAGTTTTGACAATCTCTCTGTATGCCATCAACAGAAATTCTAGGAAATTTAATTTAAATTTTTTCAGGACTGATGACTGTTAAAGGCTCAATGGCAGGGCTGAAGTTTGGATGTTTTCTTTCCCTTCCTATTTCTGAACTACTTTGAAAGATGAAACTTAAAGAGAAATTCTTTTAGGAAAACCAAAATAGACCAAATAATCTCTCTGTATGCCATCAACAGAAATCCTAGGAAATTTAATTTTAATTTTTTCAGGACTGAGATGACTGTTAAAGCCTCAATGGCAGGGCTGAAGTTTGGATGTTTTCTTTCCCTTCATACTTCTGAATTACTTTGAAGATGAAGCTTAAAGAGAAATTCAGTTAGGAAAAACAAAACAGACCAAATCTAGCCATTTGATTTCAGAAGCTGATGTAAAACACCACAAATGGGTTAGATTACAAATTGCCAAGTTTAGATTTCTTAAAATATTGTGGTGATATCAAAGGAGAAAGGTCCAGGATTAGACAATATAAAAGTGGAAAAAAGATTGAAATAACCAGGGTTGTACTTTCACACATACAGCCCTTGCTTAATTAACAGTTCTGCATCTAATCTTTTATTCGCCCTGATATACTAAACATGAAATAGGAGAAATGGAAATGCCAGAGAACTTGACTATCTAAAAAACCTACCACCTAAGCTGTAAACATATAAGCAGAAGAAAAAGAAAGAGGACATAAAATAAGAATTAGTTATAAAAGATGAAAGCACATCACACATTCTTCCAACATAATAATATATCAACTCCATAATAAAATAGAATCATAATGTGGCTGCCCACATATAACAAAACCAAAACAAACAGATGATGAAATATCAGGATTTCAAAAAGATACCTCTGATCTTTCAGTTACAAGAGTACTTCAAATGTTTAGAGATTTTTAGCTTGGCAAGAAAAGCTACCAGTGTAATATGCATACACATATTTTTTCAATGCTACAGTTTACTAAAACTCTTTAGTGTTAATAAATAAGTTGACAGAGCTCAGATAATTTTATGACACTTCCTAGCTACAACAAAATATTGATTTCATAACACAGTCTATGGTTTAGAAAGAAAACCAGAATTATAGCATTCTTACAATGACAAATGAATCAATGCATTTCAAAATTATATTGACTTCTCTAAGGGCAATCAAATCATGAACAAACAATAGTTAGCCTAGTGATTTAGCTTAATTTTCACTATTTCCTTTCAGTGTAACTAGGACCAGAATTCTGTCACTAGTCTTACAGAAGAGCTCTAAGGGTAGGGGTAGCTTTTTATTTTCTTAAGTACAATACACTACTCTCTTTACATTTTACCTTTATAGCTGTTATTTAAAAATTCAGTGATCCCAGGGAAGATTTTGCCTTTAGAAACTGTAACATAGCTCCACAACATTCTACTCCATTAGACTAGGGATACAAATATATTTTTACTCATCAAAGAAAACGTTCCTTCACACTGGCCAAAAAACCCAGAAACCCTACAACAAAGAAAGCTTGCATGCATATATACATATTAAACAAACATTATTGATTGCTTCTTGTAATGCTGATGCTATGTAGTAGTTTCAACAGAATGTTGAAAGTATGCAAATTGTCAAGGAACTACAACTTTTTCCAAGTATTTTGGAAGATAACATTGGGTAGGGACAGATGCTAACAGACAAAAATATCAGTTTTCGTTCATTGACCAAGTTTTATCATTCTAATGGCAATGGTATCTTTTGAATGTGGTCATACAAGCGAGACAGAGGAATTCTCACGGATGACAACAGGACCAGTCCCCATGATGGAAACTGCATATGAAGACAAGCTCCTTAATCTGGGCTTTGTATTCAGGTCACTGTGGAGGCAACAACTTGGAGATGATCTGCTACTGATGAATTAATGGTAACCTTCATTATTTGCTCAAAAATATGCTAGGCTTGGCTGTAGTGGAAATAAATAAATAATTAATAAATAATAATAATAATAATAATTATTATTATTATTATCATCATCATCATCATCATCATCATCATCATTGTTATTGTTATTGTTATGGGAAGTGGGGCATGAGTCTGGTAAAAACACTACACCAGGGAGACTGATTACTAGGTAGGTATTTGAGAAGAGAAGGAAAAAACATTCAGTTGACTATAAACCATTTATTTTCAGCTAATTCAGAGAAGGGTAATGATGGTCATGAAAAAAAATGTTATCTAGCAAGAGAGGAGCACAGGGACAAAATGTAGGATCTTACTAACAAGCTAAAAGGAGGATTATTTTTTAAGAAATCCAACCAAACAAACCCACACTTTTACAATGAGGTGAGAAAAAAAGCACAGCTCCTAATAAAAGTAACACATGGCCACAACAAAAGAGGACAACCAGAATCAGTTACTGTTTTGTGGACATGGTGCAGCACTGCAAGACTTGGATGACATACTGAACACGCTTTGAGAGGTTAAATCAACAGTTTTTCATGATCCAAATTAATTTAATTTTCTGCACTTCTTTTCCTCTTAATCCTGTGCAATCCCTTCCTGGAACTACCATGCTACTGATGCACACTAGTTGAAAACAGAGGTAAAGAAGTTTTCTTTGTCAACAGCCTGTAGGCTCACAAAATTGAACCTGTTCTTTTATCTGCCTATGTTCATTTAGCCCACCAAGCAGTCTTTATTAAAGCTGAGGCATCAGGCAGTCAAAGTTCATTAATACCATTTATATAATCTCTGCAGTTTCAATTAACTCAGCAAGACATTCTACTACATGATAACAGTCTCATTAATTCAATAAAATCCCATAACTATTAACAATATGGTCTATGTTAAACGGGGTGTCACCTAGTAGAAAATAATAGCTTTAACAGCTTGTGATGAAACGCAGTGCTTTTTTTTTTTTTTAATTTGATCTGGCTAAATATTCCATCCCTTTATAGAAAGGTATTATTTCTTGCTAAAGAATCAAGAGGATTTTAAATATGAGCAGAGGGTAATTAAGTCCTTTTAAGTCATATCAAAGAGTAAAATAATACTTCTTGTTCAATAAATGATAGACTAAATTAGCTGGAATGTGTTCTTCCATTTCCCTATCATCAGTACTCTGGCCTATATTCACTAGAAAGAGAAGGCTGAATACTACTAAGTATTTTTTTTTAGCAGTGCCCTTCAAAATACAGCTCCTAGATCTCATTTTTATTGTTCTTATGCAAGACTATTCCTTGCTCACAGTCTGTCAAACATGAGAAACAACCAGTTGATAGATGTTTCATACGTTTGATAACTATATAGTCCATTTTTAAAATAATCTCTAAGAAATTCTCCAGAAGTAAGTGTTCCTTCAACTCATATGGCCTTTGTTTCCATGAAACAACCCTATCCCCTGGCTTGAGGACAGGGTGCTAACAGACTATGCCTGAAAGCATAGATTGTTTTATAAAAATCTACACATTTACTGAATCTCTGTATTTTTGCCATGACAAATTTTCTGTCTACCTAAAGTAGGCTCCTCTACAGTTTATCCTTGGTCCACGCACACAGGGTATCCCTCAGTTTGTCAGTCTCTACTCAGCCTACAGATAACTGTGTGAAGAAATAAATACAAATATGCTCCACTTGATACTCTGCATATTGGTCTTGCTATATGAATACAATATCGTGTTTATAGTTACTTCAAAACCTTCAGAACAAATGCTGAATTAATTAACTTACTAACTCTGTGGATGCAGACTTAGTGCAACTTAGGCTTTCTTTACCATTTTATCAAAAATGGTTTAAGCAGACTCCCCTTCAAGTAACTCTGTAAAAGTTACTTATCCTTCACTCAAGAGGATTTTGTCAGCTGCATTGTACTTGGATGCTACAGGGTTAGATAAAGATCTTTTTGCTAACATACTGCATGGCTTTAGCACTTTGGGAAGAACTTAAAATATTACATGAAACTTAAAATAGTAACCTTGGTCTAAATTTCAGAGTCACTATGCCTTTTGTTTATTCACTACCATTTTAAATCCTGCTGTGTACTTTCTTTACCTAAGCAGAGAAAGTCTTTCTTTGTGTTTTTTCTCTCTTAACCAATGACAAAGAAAAAGATGTTTATAAAGAAATTCAAAGTTAGAAAACTTAGTAACCTTAAAGAAAACAACTTAAGGTACTGTGTTATGAGGAGAAAGCATATGCTATTCAATGAGCTCACTTACCAACCAGCTGACAAGCAGCTCTTTGATTACTTCAGCATTATGATACAACTTCAGATACAACAGAGCTACATTATTGTCAAACCATATAGAAAATGTTGAGTCAATGAATGCCACCTGTACAGTATTTTCATTACCTGTTTATAAAGCAACTGCTCATTTTCTCTGGCGTAGCAGAACAGAACATCTGTAAGAATTTTCCTTACATTCTCTTGCTGGAAATACTGCATTTCAGGAAAGCTGAAAATGAAGCAATACAGCAAAAGTAAACAATAGAGTGCACAGAATGCCAGTTGCTGGTCTTCTAAAAGGGCTTTTAGGTAAGAGCATCTCCCTTGTCTGCTTTCCCACTGCTCTGTGCTGCTAGAGTTAAACACTTCTAGCGACTTGTTACATTTGTTTTGCAACTGAAATGATGAACCATGGTCTTTAATATACACCAGTCTGCTACACAGGTATGATGATATCAGAGTTATATTTCAATAACTAATTCCTTTAAATCTCATTAAAGCTAGACATCTGCAAGAATGACCATAATGGAAGAAATGGAAGAAAGAATTAGATTGTGTCAGAAGACACACATACACAAGGGTTCCGTATTTCTTTAATATTTGAAAAAATATTATAATTTAATGACAAGATTATTTAAATATCTCATAATTGACATGAAAACCAGTATCCTAAAACTGAGTATTTCTTACTGGCATCTGTTGCAATACAACACAATTAGACATCTCACTGTCTTTAGCAGCTATTACAAATAAACTTTACAGTTATAAAATAATCTGTCTGGGCAAATAACCAAAGTGAACCAGAATGAAGTGGAACATGTGTGAGAATAAGGAAAAAAGGCTTCTGGGAAAATCCTGTTACATGCATACTGGAAAATGTAAATGTTTCCAGTCTGCAACTACTCTGAAGCAACTCTCACCTGTGCATCCTGCTCCTTGACTGTTGGAGGTAGGAAACAGAATAGTTAAGCAGAACCTACTTAAAATTGAAATAAGTGCAAAAACAAAGGTGTTTTCATTGCTACTGAAGAAGCAACTAGATGGCAAAAAATGTTTCATAAAGCAAATGCCCCAAAACATATTGCTCCACAGCCATACAGAGCAATATAAAATACACAGAAAAAAAAAATCTGAAAGGGCAGAATACTAAAAAGCAAGGAAATTGTGAAGCTGGACAAAGAAAAGCAAAAGAATACTTAAAAAAGACAACAATGGTAGGCCTCAGGCTAGAGTGCTGAAATAAAGGTTGTAGTATAGTCAGTTTTAGAATTAAATCACATAGTTTGAAATGAGATTTCTTCAAACAAGTTTCCCAGGTCTGAGCTACAATGTTATACTTTAGACCAGATGTATTTAAGGCTATTGTAAAGGCTGTCACAGAGAAACAATATAGGAAATTAGAACAAATTACTTCAGATAAGACTATTAACATTGCTAATCACTGTGGTCATCTCACAGAGGTGATGACAGGCAAGCACAGAAACAGAAATATTAAGGCTAGGAAAGTGCTTTGAAATCCTTTGATGAAGGAGCTAAATCAAGAGCCAAGGCAGAGAAGACACCGTGGCTTAAACACAGTGATGCTGAAGTCCTGAGAGGCACTGGGATGAGAGGTGTAACATTTTCCTGGCACCTGGTGGAGGTAACGGTAGACCAACATTTGGAAACTTGTGTGCAGTTGTACTAATCACATTACTGTAAAGGAAGGACACAGCTGAGACCAAAAGTGCATTATAGCAGATGGCAATCGACATAATTCAGGGGTTTGAAGAGATTATTTCTGAAGGACTGTTATTCAGGGCTGCCCTGTGAAGTTTCGGAAGAGAAGACTAACAAAGAAAACTCAAAAATACACAGAGATATCTGTGAGGATCTAGTAATACCAGAGATTGTAACAGAAAGGATAATAATGAACTCAGGAATAAGCTGGCTGAAGTATTAATTATAGTAAATGTAAATAGAAGAGATCATGAGGGAACTATCAGTTCAGGATGGATTTTTATGGAAAATATAATTTTATGATTAAAGCTCTGTTTTAAGAAATACAGTATTCTCAAATCAGTAAGGTAAGAATACGTTTCATGAACATGAGAATGTTACATTTAATTACATCTCTGAGAAAGCCTGCATTAAGGACATGGGAATTTTCCTAAACTGTTTTACCACAACTCTACAATGAAACAATGGTGCATTCAGGTCTCAGCTTCCTAAAAGTGAAGACCAGCCTGAGTCAGATATAGCTTTTTAAAATACTCCTTTAGCTGATTTAGGAGCACCTGCATCAGAGGCAACCAGAATTTGACACATAAATTTGAAGAAGCAGGCTGGTAAACAAATAAATGGATGTAAAAACAAATTTGGTGGCAGACAGAAATGTCGATCATAATCAATGGATTGCTGTTCCTTACCATCTCTTCCACATACTTAGGAAATATGTAGCTCTCCAGTGGCTTTTCCACTGCTGTTTTGATGTTGGCAATTTTAAAAATATTTTTTTTCTTATTTGGGGATGGAGATGGGGATGGAACCCCAGCACCCACCACTACTCATTTTCACATACTTTCCATCATTCTAAATTGTGACTGTTACTCCTGAAGCAGAAACTAAGTAGACCAATATTTAAAGTATTACTACAAAAGAGAAGATATTGACTTGATCATCTACAGGGAATGCTCCCTAGGTATTTTAGTTTTTTAAAATACTGGAGAGAGAAAAGAAGGTAATGAAATTTAGCCATTTGCAACACTAGATGTACACTGTAATGCCAACAAGTAACCTGGTATTTTAATTTGTGTTAAATGCTTTTGCATCTGCCAATCTGCTGATTTCTATTCCTGCAGAATATGTAAAAAATGTTTTAAAAACATTGATCACTAATGAGTTGGGACTAACTTAACAATATCCTTTCCTACTTGCAAATATTGGAAGCTGTTATTTTTATGTAGACAGTATTTCTATCACCTGACTTGAGGAAACTAAAGTTTTGTTAGGTACTGGTGAGCTAAAAGCCCTTTATAATTACTGAAGGAAACTGTACCTCTCCAGTGTGATTCATCAGACAAAAACTGTATTTATGCCTTAGGAAGAGATGATTTGTGTCCTAGAGTTCTACGGGTACACAGACTCTAAAGCATGGTTAACCCAGATGAGAGTATCTAGGCTTCACAGACCCAATAATTAGGTGAGATAAGGATTCTCAAAATGCACAGGAGCAAACACACACGAACAAACTTTATTACAGCCGCCTTTAGATAGCAAAATCCCGAAGTTTAAACCAATACCAATTTTAGGAACCTAATTCGAGCCACTTTTCCTGTTTATTGTTACTACACTTCAGGGAATTCTAACAAAAGCATTATAGAGTAATTTTTTCACTACTTTGATAGCTGGAACTCTGGTTTGCTACTCTGTGTGCAGTTAGCATCACTCTCTACAGCATTTTATACTTGATGCAGTGGGATGATGGAGGACTGAACTAGATGACAAAGAATATAAAAACATTAATTAAGAAACAGCAGCTAGAAAGTAGTGATTATGGAAATTTAATATAATAATTATTTTAACCTTTAATAAAACGCATTGTAAACTAATGATTAATTTTAAACTTTTAAAATTCTAACTCCAGGGATTTATTTAAAGATTGTAAATAAAACCAGAGGGGTTTTACATTATAAAGCCACAGAATTAAGAACTTACTGCTTCTTAAAAATAATCATAGTTTACAAATAGATATGTAAGTATATGTAAAAATGCATACAATGTTTTATGATTAGACAAAAAAAGTGTACATATGAAATGGATGTAGCTTATCAAATACATTCATGTCACTGATAAAGTTTGCTTTTTCATTGCTTAACTTATTTTGCTATTGATGACACAATATATACTACTATTGTTTCAAGTACATGTAATTTTGTATAAATGCATAAATGAAAATTTCTTTAGTCACAATTACTGATATTAGTGAATACTACTCTGCCATTTGCCACAGTGAGAGCCTGGAATTTGTGTGTATATACATATATATTTAAATAATAATCTTACATCCACCATAACCTCCATAAAACTTTTCATTCTCCAATTATAGTTTAGATACATATATATTTTAATCTTAGAACATCCTGAACTGTTTCCTTTAACAAACAAAAAATACCATCTGTTGTGAGAATGCACATGAAAGTATACTCAGATTTTAATTATACATCTCATGGCAAAATACATTCAAGAATGGGTCTAGGGACGGACATGTAAAATATTCGAAAACCAGACTGCAATGATTTCTTCTGCATGACTTGGTTCCTGTAAATGAAAATGTGTAAGCTTGGGATTTGTAGAATCTATGACTATCATCACATTTTTCAAGTTATAAGGAAAAATATTTGCAGTACAGTAAAATATCAAATGGTAGCAAACCAGTAATTGAATTTAATTATATTTACACATTACTCAATGCTTGCACTCTGAAAAGAAATATTTTCAGGAACTGAGTGTTCTAACTCAAACAAGTTTCTAAACAGGAATGACCTAAAGGCCAAGAAGATGAAAACATAATCACAGTAATATCAGGACAAATTTTAAAAGGAATATATGACAAATAAAGCTAGAATAGTGATAAATAAAAATAGAACCTCTCAACTTCTATACATGAGTGACATTTCCCTTACTAATTACAAACTGCTTTTTTATTATTGATTGTATTAAGTGTTGAGAATTAGAAAAGTAATCTGTTCGATCTTTCATTATGATCATAATTTAAAGACCTTTCAGCTTCTCTTATGTTCTCTTTGCTTCATACAGAAGACTACATTAAATTTCACAAGTAGTACACCTCCTAATATCTTAATTTAAAAGAGCTTTTCTTCAATGATACCAATAAATCTCCGGGATTTAATGTTCAGCTAAATTGTCTCATTTTTTACTCCATGTAAGTTGTATTTTTATACATTTAATGTATGTTTCCACACATTCATGTTCAACAAACCTGACATTTACACTAACCAAAGTCAAGAAAACACAATATAATATATACCACATAAAAATGCAGAATAGAAGTTTATATATAGAAATTTCTCTTAAAGATCTACATACGTTCTCGTCACATCTTGTTCAATCATTGCTCGAAGCTCTTTATCCTGGAAAAATTTATTCCAAAGACTCTGAAATAAGAAAAAATAATTGTATGAAACCAAGACTTCTACTGATACTTAAGGCTTATGAACTACAAAGTACTGCAAAGTACTGTACAAATATTGACAAATTAATCCTCAACATTCCTGGTAGACAGATATATCAGTATGTTATGGGAGATAAAGAATGTTGGTGATCAGCACAACATATCTGAGAAAGTCTGTTTGGATCAGAAATAAAAACATCCAAATTCCTGGATCTCTGTCCTAGGCTCATGGCATTTGCTCACTGGATGGCTGCAGGTTTGTGAGTTACTTGTTTGGGTTCCAGAAAGAATATTTAGAATGGCAGATTAAAGTCAAACTTATCAGAACCAGCAAATCAACTGAAAAAAATTAAGTTGTTCACACAAGGAAAAAGGTCTGTATCACTGGACTGTACCATACTTCTTCTATAAATGTATGGACTTTAATTGGAAGCTGCTGAAATATCCACAATAAGAAATTGTTTGGGAGTTTGTTTTAGTGGAGACAAAATCATATAAGGAGTGTATGATAATCAAATACCTGTTACGAAAACATCATCATTCTAATCCACTCTGAAGACCAAAACTGGCCATTCTAAAAAAAATTATGATAGGAAAAGCCAGAGTATTTAAAGCTCACTATCAAAATAGAAAATATTAAATAAAAGAATCTGACGTAGATTTAGGTTCTTCTGTAGCTATGCTTAATGACCATTTTCATGATTTCTCTTTTGTGTCCATGCTTTGCTTACAAATATGTTGTAAAGCTAACCGGAAAGAAGTCAGAAAGTGCTGTTAATTGTATGCTCCAGAAAAAGTATTGGAAACTGTATTCTCTACTCTAAAGGCATGGTAGCTTGATCAAAATAGAGATGGAGCAAAATTCATAGCAGTCTTCATGCAGGTTAGGTAAGTTTTCAGATAGCAGCAGCACCAGTGAATGTACAATATTTCCACAATTTCTTGCCTCCCAGTAAGCAATTCTTTGCCATGTTAGCTTATGCTCCACAGAAAGAAAAGAGAAAGTAAATTAATGCTATCTGAGGGAAGGGAAATAAAATAACAAAACTCCATATTAATCAGTTGCTATAGTTGTGTTACAACTCAGAAAAAAACCTAAACTTCAAAACTATTTATATCTTTGATAATGTCTTACATACAGTAAGTATCCTTTTAATTCACAACTCTTTTCGTGCAGCTACACCACATTTTGGAACCCCCCTGAGCCTGCTCCCACCCTGGCCCATCGGAACAGAGGAAACAAACAGAAGCTGCATTGTGAAAAGGAAGGAAAAATCAGGACACAAAATGGGCGCAACATTAAGTCACAGCAGACGCTCAAAGGCACTTTGTTCTTCAGTCCTATGCCTGATTTGGTCAGTGGCTTTATTTCATAGATTAATCCCCTGCCACATATTCTGACATGCTAACCTTTGTTTTCTACATCTGAAAGACACCACAGGCAGAAAGCAGGTTGAGCCACTGTGTATAATCACAAACTACAGCAGAAATGCTTTACATCTTTTACATTTGACACAACTTTCTCTCCAGATGGATGCAAGAATAGTTTGATGATGTGCACAGTCATAACAGCTGCAGAGCTCTCTCCTTCTAAATTAAACAAGGAGCACAGTACCACTCTAGAGATGAAGTATGGGCTTCTGTTTGTGGACAAAGCACGAGTAATATCACCAGAGATATCTGAAACAGTCTTTTCAGGTGTAAATCTATTAAGTGCAGCCAAACAATTTATTTTCATGGCATTAAGTTATTTTAAAAAAAATTATAAAAAGAATTTTGATGGTAACAATGGTAACATAATTAATAGAAAAGCTTAAAGATATGTGTGATACATTCTTAAAAGCTTTTCTGGTATAACAAAATGCAGTAAAAAAACTGTCCAAGGCTGAACAATCTTCCAGAGGAGAGTATTTCATTGTTCTGTTAACAGCATTCACCTCATATTGAACATTTGAACACTCCTTAAACTAGATCCACTGAACACTCCTTAAACTTTGATGTATGAAATGAAAACATACAGTGATAAAAAAGCCTATCAGTTAAATATAGCCCAGCACCGATTTTTTTTTTTACCACAGCATTCCCTGAATGAAACCCTAAAAATCAGAATATGAACCTGGAAATGGGCATTTCCAGTTGTCCAGCAGAAGCTGTGGAACAACTGTTAACACAAGTCACAGTTTGGACATTTAGGAGGGAGATTTTAGCACCTGCCATTTTGCCTACTTCAGCAAGAACTCACTTTTGTCAGTATGAAGATGATGAGAATTTTAGTAGCATGTGTTGGGTTAACTTACCCCCTCGTCCTGGGAGAGTGGGTTGTTGATTATCAGATCTTGCTGTCCTGCTTTCCGAGGGTTTGTAATGTGCTAGGTAAAAACAGAAAAAAAATTAGATCCTTTCCTGTTATGCTATAAATGTCTATGCCAAAGTATGAGAACCTATTTTGTACCAACTTACAATTTCTTTGATCTTACTGTAAGAAGTTCTTAAGTCTGAAGTGGTTTTAATCCATTGACTTCTATCTTGTGGTAGAACATCCAGAAATAACTATTAGCAAAACAAAATAAATTCATTAAGTTTCATCAGTTTTACACAGCTTTTCAGATAAATCCTACCAGACAGCATAAACCACCCCAGAAAGAAAGAGAAAGCAAAGAGCTATAAATATTTCTAGGTCTAGTGCATTTTAGTCCATGAATAAGTAGCTAGGAACAACAGCAGTCTACGGGGCAAAATTAAGTATTAAAGTCAACTGAAGCCATGAACTCAAGCTTTGTAAACTGTTACAGATACAGTAAAGCTGATGGTGACTTGCAAGGCAGGAACAAAATGGAAAAATGTGAAAAGAAATATACAAAATCTGAAGCTAATTATGTAACACTGATGACCTAATGCAATGTGCTTAAAACGAACCACAAACACAGAGCAGGACCAAAGCACCGAAGGATATACCCAATGCAAGAAATGAAACATGCTCTAGAATTCTGCAAGAGAGCTAAGAGAGAAAGTTTTGCAGAAAGTCCTTGAGAATGCCTACATCTCAGTTTTTTCATGGCTCTTTGAAAGGGTTAGAAAGAAACATACAGTGCAAAATACTATTTAACTGCAATTGAAGCAAGGAAAAACCCCAGTATTTTCTTGCTTTTTCAATGTTTTTATTTGCACATTGTAAAGTGTTAAGAAAGAGGAGTACTAACAAACAGAAGTTCTAACAAACAAAAAACATTCCTAAATCACTAAAAAAAAATAAATTCAGAACTTAACAACAGAGCCCTAATACATATTGGGACAACCAAGTAAACCCTGCCTTATTTCTAAAATAAAACCACTCCTTGATTTAATTAGTAGACAGAGAAGGACTTGATGTTTTTGTTAGTTCAGGGCTTTGAGTTATGGCCTCCTAATTTAGAGACTTAAAAAGAAGCAAACTGGTAAAACAATGCAGGTGGTATAGATTCACTGGGCTTGCTGAATAAAATATTTGCATTAACTTTAAACTAGTACAATGCTACGTATATTTCAAATTTCAAACTTCGTCTTTGTTTCATTCATATATAAGGAGTATTTTAAATTTCTTTTAATAGGTCTCTGTGCCAAAATGATGGTTCAGAAATTCCAAGTGAGTGAATTTAAATGATCAGCATTAACACACAGTGATCCTACTAGAAAAAAATTCCTCTACTATCAGAGCTGTGCACAACAGAAGACTTGATGCCATTGTAAAAAAAATTGTTTGGACAAAAATTTGTTTGTTTATAGAGTTACCCCGTATTACCTTGCTTTCTTTCTCTCTTTCTTTCCCTACTACTTAAAAGAAAAAACAACAAAAAACTCCCGAGGAGCTATTGTGCTTTTGGAAGACCTTGCTTCCCTCTTCATCCAGTCCTCACAAGAGAGATTGGTCTTCACTTTCTCATTTCACTGGGAAAACCAGCTAGCAGAAGTATCAGACTGATTTTAAAGCAGTCCCAAATTCCACAAAACCATAATTTTTTAGACTAACTTCCTATCTATTTCCAGTGCATGACTTCCCTGCACAGATACTGAGAGGAGAAATGGCTGTGTGGCTCAATTCTAAACATATCACCAGCACAAAGAAACACTTTCCTAGGATTCTTTTGCTATTACCTGCAATTCAGCTTTAACGCGATTTGATGTGGTTAGCAAATGTCCAATGAATTATAAAAACGAGTAGGAAAACATTGGGATGAAGTCTCTTGGAAAATTCATGATTCTTTGCATCAATAATCTTCCAGCGCATCAGGTAATGTGTTGATATATTGCAACCACAAACTGTAAATAAATATTTTCTCTTCTTACCTTCCAGCAAACACTACGGAACCTGCTGCTTCTCAGCTGCCCATTAATCCCCTTCAGCCGTATAGTTGCCAAGTAATTGTTGTTTACAAATAGTTCTTCCCATTCTTTACTGCAAAAGCAAAAGGAATGAACATTTAAACAAAAAGAAAGCCTTAGCTGATTTAAGGACTATATGACACTATACAATTTTGGATAAGCAGAGGAAAGCAAGTTTTAAAAATGTATATATTTAGTTGTGTACCACTTCTAAACGCATGGCTGTTTTTTTGGACACATTTCTTCTTTGGATTTAATGAATATGTAGATCGCTATAATTATGCCAGCTACTGAAATTCATAATGTCTATGGAGGCTATTCCATTTCCTCTAAAATGTTGGTACTGCAGTTCAGTGAATAAACAAGAAAAATGAATATTAATATAAGCACATTCATGTTTCAGCTGTAGACAAAGAAGTACCTATTCCAAAAATATGCAACAGAAAAGTACACTGTTGACTGTATTAGCTCTTCACATGACGTATTTGCTTAAATGAACCTTCTTTTCTTCTTAATGTCAAGCTGGGCAGTTAAGCATCATAGAAGATGACTTTCTTTAACATTTAGTGCTATTTACTATTGAAATCACTCCTACTTCTTTCTACATGATCAGTTTTAAAATTTTAACAGGTGCTAGGAAATTTAAAAAAACATCAAAAAATTAAAAAGCCTCACTGTATAAACTGTTAAAGGCAAGCTTGAGTACCTTGCAGTACCTATGGCTGACTAGATAAACAACCTAAATATGCCTCCCAGGCATGCAGGCACCAGGGGCCTAACACCTGTGCCTCATTAATATACAAGTAAATCTGCTCTACTGGGAAACAATTGGAAATTAATTGTCCCAAACCATCTACTGAGTTTGAATAAAAGAATTAAACCTATATTTCCTGCAACTTCTACTGAAATGAATCTCAAGAACAGCTGAAGCCATCTGATATTCTTAGTAGCCCACAACTTGCTCACAGACTTTCTGCAGCCACTTCAAAATACAAAGGGCAATTTCAAGGTAAGGAGCTGGGTTATGTGCAAGGAAATGTGTTTCAGATTTATTTTCAATGCATGTCCTTAAGGTGAACATCTCCTCCTTCCCCTGTCACATGGGAGACTATTATTTCTCCCTGGGAGACCAAATGAAATCAGGAAGAGGGAAACTACTATTATGACTCCAGGCTAAGATCTCACCACATTTACTCTGCTAAGGAGGGTCACAGAGTGGGTTATACTAAATACCAGCAAACTCTGGTTTTGCAAATTGCCCTAAATATATGCAAGATGAAGTTAGATAGTTTTCAGCCTTTTAAGCTGAGTTGGGAGAGTGAGTTTTTTTAAACAGAATTGTAAAATATAGCTGCTGAGTACTGCAGAGGAATGGACTTGGCAAGCCAGGAAATTATGGTCGTCTTGCTCTGTAACAGGAGCAAGCTCATGATTCATGCTGAGACCAGAAGTCCTGTGTTTGTGAATGCACCACCTTTCAGCTAGGACCATATTCTTAAAAAAAAAAAAAAAAAGTCTTTACTTCTGGGTCTTGATTATTAATTACTTTGAAAACAGAAGGTATTCTAGATAAGAGCAAAGATGCTTAGAGCAGTGTTAGACTGCAGGGTTTAGGGCTGCCTTTAGCTTATCCCAAGTGGCAGTACCCCCAGGTGACCAAAAGAGCAGCAAGTCATTCCAATGGTATGGAGCAGCTTCCTTCATTCCTCTCAAATCCCCAGTCTCCAAGTCAGAAAGACTATCTGGTCATTTTTGTCTCCATGTCTCCCACACATCCTCACCTTCTGCAGGGAGCTGCCTACGATTGTTTACTGTGATTCTGTCTCCTTTAAATACAACGTATGGTATACAGCAGACACAGCTTGAGGAAAATCTGGGCCTTTCTTTCACAGCCACTTATACTTCAGTAACTACAGTATATTATGGTTATCTAAATAACCCTCCTGTTTCTATCACATATAATATTCTTCATTTGCCATTGTAAATTTTGTAGCATCATTGGCCATTATAACTCCTGCCAAGCTGCCTCCCTAAGGTAGCTATGTTTCAAGAGTGCCACATTCCCCTGTGCACACAACAGGTCAGACTCTGAAGCTTATTCACATTGTTCTGCAAGTGGATGACATTCCCACAATGTCTTTGAAAATGCCAGTGTGTCAGCTGAGTTAGCAAAAGGTTTCAACCAGTGCAACTGTGAAAAGAAAGAACAGAGAGGAAAGAAACTCTTCAGGTTATTTTTCTCACCAGCTGCTGGAAGTGATTGCTACACAGTAAGAAAGTAATTTCAACACTTCTGAAATTGTATTAGTGCAGATATTATGCCTTAAAAAAAAAAATGTAATGCAATTCCAAACACGTTTTGAACCAAATTACTTTTAAAACCGCCAAAAGAAATTTGGCAAGATTGTATCTCCTCTGCATTCCCCCTTGGCTGCTAGGATCACAAAAAAAGTTATAAGCAACTGAAAAAGAAATTACTTGGAAGCTGGAATCTGCGTCGGTTTTAGTAGAGCTGAATGATATTTAAAATCCTTTCTGAACAGCATTCACAAATTCATTTCTCAAGTATTTGGAATGAAGGCTAATAAATTAGGCTTTACAATTCTAGAGACTTTTAATAGTGGTGACACTGTTTAATATGAACAAGCAATCAATTCTAAAAAGATAACATTTAAAATTATATAGCCCTACTATGTAAAATAATATCTAAGAGCCTTGTTAACCCAGGACTGCAGAAAACCCACCGGTCAACATGAAATTAGCAATGAAGATTGGAACTCAAGTCTACCATATTCCATTTGCTTCACTTCAGTGAAGGACTTCAAAGAGCTAATAGAAACCATCTAAACTATGAATAATCACATGCATTTACTTTTAATCAAACTAGAAAATTAAATGTATGATCCTATGTTACACCACCTGTAGACTGTACAATTAAAGGCAAATGTCAATGTTAATGTTTTCTTATTATTTTGTAAATATTTTTCATTTTAGATTCTTGAGTATCCTGTCTAATGAACTATTGTGCATGTTGTAAAGTCTTCACAGTAATAATAAATACATATAATATAAAACCTTGTTTGACACTGGCCCAATGCCAGCCACCCACCAAAGCTGCTCCATCAACCTCCCATGCCACAGCTGGGCAGAGGAAAGAAAAAAATTGGTTGAGATATGGACTGGGAGAAAACACTTCAAGAGCAAAACAGCCTCAACCTAAAGCTGCCAAGTGAATTTACTACTAACAGAGTCAGAGGAGGATAATGAGAAGTAAAAGAAGCCCTTAAAACACCTTTTTTCCCCCCAATCTCTCATTCCTTTGCACCAGCAGCACAGAGACAGGGCATGGGGATTTGGTCTGTTTGTCATCCAAGGTTTTCTTCTGCTGTTCAGGGAGAGGAGTCCTTCCCCTGTGAGGCCATGGTGTCCCTCCCATGGGAGACAGTTCTCTGTAAACTCCTCTGGCATGGATCCACACTCATGAGCAGCAGCCAAACTACATTTGCTGCAAACATGAGTCCCTCCCACAAAGTCCTCCCAAAACTGCTGCAACATGGGTCACTCTTTCCATGGGTTGCAGTCCTCCAAGGACAGGCTGTTCCAGCCTGGAAGTAGGGGCTCCCTCCCTCCACCTGGTCTCCCACTGGATCACATCCTCTTGCAGGAATCCACCCGTTCTGGTGCAGGCATCTCCCCCACAGGCAGGTGGATCCCTGCATCCCTCATGGATTGCCAGGGTCTGCAGGGGCATGGCTGCTTCACCACAGTCTTTACCATATTCTGCACAGGAATCTCAGCTCTGGTGCCTGGAACACCTCCTGCCCTTCCTTCTCCACTGACCTTGGTGTCTCCATGTTGTTTTCTCTTACATGTTCTCATGTCCTTCTCCTCTCTAAGAAAAACTGTGCATGTGCCACTTTGATTTTCTTCTTAAATATGTCATCACAGAGGCATTGCCAACATCTCTAACTGGCCCAGCCTTGGCCAGCAGCATGCTCATCTTCAGAGCCATCAGGGACTGGCTCTGCTGGACATGGTGGGAGCTTCCAGCAGTTTCTCACAGAAGCCACCTTTGTGACCCCCCTGCTACCAATAACCAGGCTGTGCCAAACCAGTGCAGACCTGAATGAGAAAGAAATTATTGGAGTAATAGTTCTTTAAGAAACTTAATTTCATATGCGTTATCACTGCTGTCCAATGTAAAATATCTACTGGCATGAATCAGGGAGAGTTGCATTACTTCAAAGTGGGAAAAGTGCTCAATATGTATGAAAGAAAAAGCAGGCAAATCAATGAAGGGTTTAATTCTGCAGGAATTGTTCATAGTTCTCATCTGTTCCTTTCCATCTTTTAAAACATGCACTTGTCATAACCACAAGAGTTTAAATTTCTCTGCCAAAGAATTGTATACTGGGGTCTGCTCTAAGACACACAATCTCTTTCTTAGGAGGTTGACCTCTGAGCAAACCATATATAGAAGTCTATTTTTCTTTCTCTTCTACAGGATACGATTTATGGATATGATTCTTGTTAAGGCAATTACAAAAATCAGATTTTCAAACACAGAAGCCTGAAGTTTGGAACCGAAATGTTCCTCTCAGTTGACTGTTAGCAGAGATCACAACAAGCAGGACTTTACATCAGAAAGTCTAAGTAAAATTCTGCATGCACTTAGATAGCATTCCTGAAAAGGAATGTGAATCTCTAAGGTCTAATATCTTAATAAAAGTTACTGGAATCCCACAATTGCTCAGGTGTAGAGGAATGAGCAACCATAAACTCTTCAGAATGCAAGACATTGATAATTTAACAATATGCCTAGGAAATAACTCTGAAATTCAAATAGTTCCAAGAGCTTTACTGAGGCAACATTGAGCTTGTGCATGTTGGGGAGAGGTAACAAAGACTTTCCTCCACTGACAGGCAGAAGTAGAACAACTGCCTCTGGCTCTGCTGCTAAATTTCAATCTCTAGCATAGTGGTAAAACCAATATATCAAGCATAGATATGCAGAAGGATGCAATGGTAGCCCATTATGGCTCCTTACAAAATACATACTCTGTTCAGAAGAGG